AAGCACTCGCTAACTTGCAACCTATGGACTATGAAATGTGGACAATGAAATGTGGACAATGAAATGTGGACTATGAAATGTGGACTATGAAATGTGGACTATGAAATGTGGACTATGAAATGTGGACTATGAAATGTGGACTATGAAATGTGGACATTTAAATGTGGACAATGAAATGTGGACAATAAAATGTGAACTATGAAATGTTGACAATGAAATGTGGACATTAAAATGTTGACAATGAAATGTGAACTATGAAATGTGGACAATGAAATGTGGACAATGAAATGTGGACAATGAAATGTGGACATTAAAATGTGGACAATGAAATGTGGACAATGAAATGTGGATAATGAAATGTGGACAAAGAAATGTGGACAAAAGTCTCAATACGGACTAGCCGTAACAGATAAGGAGATAATGTCAAAGGAATGTGTTCACGGAATCACGGCATTTACGTGTTAAAGGACATTATTAAATGTTTGTGTGTATGTATTTCATGCCTGTTTGTGGTTGTGTTTGTGTGTTGTGTGTGTAATCAATAAATGTTTAGTTAACGAAATTTTTAAGAATTGATTTTTTAAACATTTTATATCGATTGATTTCTGCCCATCAGTTACTTGTTACTTTTACAATCAAATTATTCAATGGTCATTGTTTTCACTTCACAGGTGTAACGCTCACTGTCAACGGTGAGACGTCCGATGTAGTCAGCACCTGTGACAGCACCACTGTCACTGTGTCGTGTCAGTACGAGGGTCAGTCCAAGTCCACGCTTAGCTTGTTGTGGAGGTCGTTCAACGATGAGATGATAGTCCTGGCCGGAACGCTGGGCAACAAACTGACCTACACGCTGCCCCAAGAGTTCACGGCCAGACACTACTCGCTGTTCACCAACTGGATTGAATGTAGTCTTCGGGGCGCTGTGGACGTGACCACCAAAGTTAGACTAGTTATCGATGCTTGTAAGTTGACTTATCTTATATTATCTTAGACGTTTTTATCTAATGATTTATCATTTGTTGTTATCTTTAAATATATACGTTTCTTTTGAAGAAAGAAAATCCGCTGCCGAGGACAGCCGCAGACGGCGAAAAAGAAATCTTAATCGCCCACCGGCAGACAATGGTTGTGCTTGCTCTGGATGTTGCAAAATATGTAGATCATAGCTGGGGCTGCGTAGCTACGGGAAATACTGTATTCCTCTTTAATCTTCGGACTCGAAGACAAGCCTTATTGTTACTATTATTAGTACATATGTTTCTTTAATAATGAAAGTGGTTACTTTGATACTCTAGACTGGCGGCTAGACTGTGCGTCTATGAAGGCCAAATTCTCTGCCACTTCTGTTATCGCAGGAATCGTCTTTAAGTGGCTTTGAACCTAACAGCCGTGTTTAACGCAGCGGTCTCAACAAGCATTTGCTTATTTCGTCGTTTTCCACCTCATCTGTTCGGAGGATCCATATCTTTACCATTAAAATCGTTGTCCTGAGCCCTGTCAGTTAAGGCAGTTTGCCTGGGTGTCGTCCGCCAAGATATACATCCTGAATCGTCATTAGATTTACGATAGTGCTAAATTGTTAGGGCCTTAATATTAAGTTGGACCCAAACGTTTCAAAAAGATGTAATTTTACGAAATCTGCACATTACAAATAAGACAACAGGAGCAATTGGATTGGAGGTACAGCCCACTTCCTTTCTTTTCTACGCTAATTCAACATGCCTTAACATTTATTATTATTATTATTTGAAAGTGCTTGAAGTCTGAAGCGGGTAAGGGGCTTTTTTCCAAAATTTGCTCAGGGTCTTACTTACTAAAAGTCCGAAATGGACTTGGTGCTAAGGTAAACAAAATTCATTGACCTTCTCAATGACTTAGACCTGCTACTATAGAGAGACAGTGTCACTACCTGTACTACAGAGTGACAGTGGCTATACTTCTACAACTAAATGACAGTGTCACTATCTAAAACAGTAAGTGACAGTGTGAATAACTCTACCACAGAGTAACAGTGTTACTACATGTACCACAGAGTGACAGTGTCACCAACTCGATTGCATAGTGGCAGTGGCACCGCACAGTGACAGTGTTACCGCCTCTACTACAGAGTGACAGTTTGACTACCGGTACCAGTGTCAGTGTCACGTACACTGTATCTATATTTAGCCGCCCAAGGTTACCAGCCAGAACTTCAGTTAGCTCGGAAATTTCCATCACGCAACAAACTTATGTTTTGGAGTGAATGTGTTTGGTTAGAAATATTAATTATTGTACTTTGAGCTGCATTTATTGGTGGGCCTTGCAGCGGAGAGATGTTGGTCACGTGATAACGCTCTAGAGCCCGGGAAGGATTCTAGACTGCGGCAGTCTTGTGCGGAACGTGTTAGATATAACATGTACTAGAGTCTAGTGTTAGAACTCAATTATATTATTGTGTAGATCTGTTATTCTATTCAAGTACATTTAACCTTTGTAATTATTTGTGAATAGCTTTTTCAAGTTCTGAATTAAAGTATTTGTTTTAGACAAGGAGAAGTTACTTCATTGAATATATAATAATATACTTAGATTGTCTCGTCAACTAGTAACTTCTAGATGATCCTATTATCAATTAGCAACTTTTAGGTGATCATCTCATCAACTGACGATTTCTGAATCCTCGGCAATTACGATCATTGATTGTGCTTCAACGTGACATCTTGGCATCAAGTTTGATCGTAACATCTAGCACTATTGATGATCGTAACAGACAGTGACACTTTCTCTACAACAGACTGACACTGATATAATTTCTATACAAAGAGCTTTATACACCTACATACAATTTTAAGTGTATAAAGAATATTTTTTTTACTTGCATAGCTTATAGTTAATATCCTCATCTTCCCCCCCCCCCCTTTTTTTTTTTTTGTGCTCCAGGTTACGAACCCCCCACGAAAGCACAACCTTTTGGAAAGAAAGAGGGCATTGTCGTGGGCGTCTCCATTGGTGGCAGCTCTTTCCTGTTTGTAATGGTGGTCATTTTGACCCTCTACTGCACGCGAGCTCACCGCATAGCTCGCAGAGAATCCTCCGGAAGAAGACATTCAAGCTTACGTAGTCAACCACACATATCATTGACACTGGACACTGTCCACGCCTCTGACCCTCCAGAATACACTGAAGTGTTCAGCGAAGTAGATTTCAGCACGGCACCTCCCCCGCCAGATTACTACAGTCTACCTCCATCCTATGACAACGTGGCTCATTTTTACAAACACAGTGGGGGGTGTGTGATAGAATACATTTCAGGTAATTAAAAATTCAAATAGCATAGTGATGCCCTAACCACGGCCTGACGGGCCATATCCTGCCCGTGACCCTAAGCAATTAGATTTATCAGTCTTCTGTCCTCAGTGCTTAGTAAAGCCTCACAGGCACTCGTTGCGTAGTATTTGTTTATCTTAGCAGCGAGGCGTGACAAACGTATGGGGAATGTAAAAGATCATCTGGTCTAAAAGATTTGGGAACCACTGATAAATGTTTTCAACTCAACTTTAGTCTTTCATTACTCTATATATTTAGCAAATGAATCCAAGAACTCTATTACCTTATCAACGCAAAAAAAATTAAGATAGAACTCTATGCTTTAAATAACAAGCCAAGACAATAGTTCTGACTGGAGAGAGGCAGCAAGCAACAAGATAGCTTCAGGGGCAGGGGAAAGAGAAACATTCTCGAAAAAAAAGGTGATGTAAGTACCTGTGGGGTCCCAAAGTACGTGGAACAACAAAAACAACGGAATGGTTGAGAAGACTAAAGTAAGAATACGTCTACTTTCACTTGAAAGCGTATTTATCTGTGATATTGAGACATGTAACACCTGGACTCCTAGAGTAACACCTTTAGTAAAATCACTAAATTTAGAAAGTCTTCAGGATAGAAGACTTAAAAGTAAAGTAGCAATTTTACATAAAACAGTAAACCATAATCTTGAAATACAAAAACAAAACCTAATAAAAAAAACACTCAGAAAAACACAAAGATAAAGGCACATTATTCGTTCGATATTCTTTGACATTTTTTTTTTACAAATGCTCCTTCTTCCCTAGTGCTATTAGAGCATGGAATAAGTTGCCTGAGTCAGTCAGGAAAACCAATCACTTGGCAGAATTTAAGTCATTGGTTGACAGACATGACTAGATTGATCTAGGAACAAGCGTTGGACGTAATTATCTTCTTTTTTAAGTTGATATCTGTGTTTTATAAGATAAGATAAGACAGAACTTCGTCTTTAAAAACCTACAAAATGTCTTGCAAACAATTAATTTTCAGACTTTAAAAATACTTTGTTGTTGTTTTTTTTTGTTTTGTTTTATTTATCCTTGTTGGGAATCCAAAGGGAAAGGAATGAAAGATACTCGTTTGCCTTGATGCATTGATTTGTTAGGAATTAAGTGTAAGTAGGATTATCCTTCCAGACCTTGTGATCTATAGGGTCATCTGTTTCTTTGGCCAACGGTTTTTGAACAGGGTTTCATGTAACCAGCACAATGACTTACCGCCTTTGCTTTCCCCAACTGAGGTCAGGTACCCATTAGAGTGGGATGGTCTCAGGGGCCCTTAGGAAATTTGAATCCCAGCCCTGACCGAGATGCAAACCCAGGAATCCATGTTTGGTAGCTAGGAATATCTCCATTTCATCATGTAGCCCCCTAATTCTTAATAACTTTATATAGTTATGTTTGATGTCATATAATTGGTATACATAAATACTGTCTTGGAAAACACTTTTACATTCAGATACACACAAGTAACAATGATTGATTTATTTATTTTTACAGATCAATCTTTAGACCAGTCTACAGATCAGTCAATTGATCAATTACCTCATCAAACTACAAATCAGACAATAGATCAAAATACTAATCAGCCTTTAGAACAGTCCACAGATCAGTCTATGTATCAGTCATCTCATCACAGTTCGGATCAGTCAACAGATCAAACATCAAATCAGTCAACAGATCAAACATCAAATCAGTCTACAGATCAGTCTATACATCCATCTGCAGAATGATAGCAAGAAAAGAACTTTGTTAATTCCAAAACTCATCCTACATTTTATAATCTACTAGTCGAGTGAGATCCATCAAGACTGCTCCCTGGACATTCTGTGCAAAGATTTCTCTGATGTAGAACTCTGCCAGGATCACATTAACAGCATGTTCTTGTCCAAACTTTCAATAGCATTGATTCTTCTTATATGAATGAGATTTTAGGCCCTGGCTCAGATGTCCAAATGGTTCGAGGCAAGCACGCCTTTTTTATGAACCATGTGACCCGAGAAAGGCTTTTATCTCGTGGCCAGGATGAGAAATTGGCTCTTCACCGACCTCTCTGTCAGGAGGCCCACGTCGACTAAGTGATCATTTATTCACACCCGTCTTGGCATGTTGCACGTTCTTCCGAACCTCTGCATGAATTCCTCCTTTCATGTGTGGCTGGAAGCTCAAGCCCCACGTGGGGGCCATCCTTATGCCTATGCTGTCCCATCGTACCCGTGATGGGACAATCACCATACGTATGGGCCCCTTTGTAAACGGGCTCGCTAGAGGATACATGTGGTACCCCTCTGAGAGCTATGTATGCTACAGTACTTCACCTCTCCACTTTTCCGGGCGGACGTTTCCACTGGAGGGCCAACGCTGAAGCGACGGGAGCATTCCTCCGGAATGTTAGGACCAGAATTATGTAGAACTATATAGCCTGTGGAGTAGCTCCCTAAGGGCTCATTGTGCCTGGTGTCATGACCAATTGGGGACCCCGAGAGCCCTTCAATAAAACAAGAAAAATGTTTTGGCTGTAAGAATTTCAATGTATCCAATGTAATCCAATCCAATGTATATTGTATCTCTTGTAATAAGCCTTTTTCTTGACTTAATGCAAAGAACTTTACTTTGAAAAGGTTGCAGCTAAATTGGGAAGCCCTTTTTCGGCTATTTTCATAAAGGGAAAGGGGGCCACATATTCTTGAGCCCGGGCCAAAACAGTCCTTGCTTTGCTAAGGATACTAAAACTAAGACCAGAGTGACCTATTTGAGCTAAAAATATGCAATTATGCAGTAGAACAAAGTGAACTAAAGATTTGTTCTCAAAACTGTGATATAATATTTATATATATATATATATATATATATATATATATATATATAAATGTGATAGATGATCTACAAAGTAAAAAAAAAGTTGAGAATGTGTTAATAAAAGCTTTTATGTGCTTGTGTGTGTGCATGTGTGTGCGTGTGTGTGTGTTTAGAGACAAAGAGCGAGAGAAAGATACAAGCAAAACCACACAATCAAAAAGAAAAGAGTGAATTATGTATTGGTTAGTGTGACCACAATGAACTTGTTAAATGATTCTGTTTTCCTTAAGTGTTATTTTAAATGCTATTATTGCTATTTATTATCATTTTTTTTAAATTCATATTCAATGTGTTTCATTTACAATATTCAGTTCATAACTACAGATGTTTAAATGTGTTCTCAGCGTGTAGTAGCCCATTAGGACAATAACCAAATGATAAACAAAAATCCCAATCTTCCATCTCAGTCACCAATCGTAAACAGACAACATTTAACCACGTGATTCTCTATATCTTCTATACAAAATATTTAATCCATAAAGGCTGTCACGTGACAGTTTTTTTCCCCCATTGTTTTATCAATATTAGCACGTGGCTAAATGCTGTCTGTTTACGATTGGTGAATGAGGTCCATTGTAAGTAAGGAAAAGCAATATTTTGTGATACAAATTATTAAAAGTTTTCATTTTCCTTCATACGACTTGGTTTTGTTTCTTGCTACCCCTTTGATTGACATGATCTAGATCAGTGGTTCCCAAACTGTGTTCCATGGAAACCTAGTGCTCCGCGAGGCCTGAATAGGTGTTCCACGAACTAATGGAATAATTAACTAGCAGGCCGACACGTGGATTAATCTCGCTTTAAAAAAATAAGCACATTATTCCGCTTAAATATTCATAATGTGCGAAGTTTTCTGTTAAGGAAAAGAGATCGTAGTCTTTATAATTTTATTGTCAATATTCATACATTAAAGAATCATTGATTATTATAAAGATATGACACAACTAAAAGAGTAGTTAATTGATGGTTGTCCTGCGGCGATGGGGTTGCACTTTGTTCAAATGTTTTTAACATATTTTATGGACTCCATACGAAACCCAGCAACTTTAATAAGTATCTTATCTTATCTTATATAATTCGGACGTTACTTGAAAAAAAAGATGAGCACGTCCTACGCGTCATGCATTTAGTAAGTAAACAGTAAGCACTTGTGAAGACATTGTGTATTCTTACGCTATCAGAATGGAAGCCAACGTTTTTTCTTTAAGTATTAGTAGCTTATACAACGCAAAATACATCACCTACTAACATCTTATTATCTTATAATTTTTGGTCTGTCCAACAACCTAAAAAAAAAAACCGGAGGTTATGCTTTAGAAGTCACCAATGGGAACTAATCCAGATTCACTAATCAATGTGAATGACCATTTCCTTTATGTTGTTGATCGATTTACCTACCTGGACAGCACAGTGTCCTACGCTGCGTCACTGTCCAGAGAAATAGACAACCGTCTCGCAAATGCCAATGGCGCTTGTGGTCGCCTTAGCCTAAGAGTATGGCAGAATAGGTCTCTTCCCCCAGCAACACAAATCAATGTTTATAAAGCAGTGGTTCTCACCAAATGTGAATGACTCTGAGACCTGGGTGCTCTATAGAAGGCATTTAAGGCTCCTTGAGTGCTTTCATTAAAGGTACCTTCATTCCATAATGGGCATACGCTGGCGAGACTACAATACAAATAACTATGTTCTGCATGAGGCCATTGTGGACTGCATAGAAGCACTAATTACCATTCGACAGCTGCGCTGGGTTGGACACATCCCGCATGGGAGAAGACCGCATGCCTAAGGCGATCTTCTTTGGCGAGTTAAAGGAGGACGGTGTAACAGAGGTGCCCCCCGTAAGCAGTATACTTAGATCACTTTAGGCGTTATTTCGCCTTCACTGGGATAGAGGAAAGTAGCTAGCAGCAGTTGGCCTATGAAAAAGACTGTTGGAGAGCTCTCACAAAGGCTGAGGGACAAACATTTGAGACCCAAAGAAAAGCCTTTATTGAAGACAGGCGCACAAGATAGAAAGAAAAATTAAATAGACCGCAGCGGAAAACGGATATGTCTGCACAAGATACGGAAAAAATATGCAGGTCGCAACTGGGTTTGCGTGGTCATATGAAACACTGCACTCATCCTTGATCATTGGAAAAGACATTGCCATTATTATTATTTAAAAAAAAAAGAAAGAAGATAGTTACGCCCTACGCGTATGAGCGCGTCAAGCTAGTTATGCATGTTTAATTGGAGACTTATAATCGGTAAAAACATTGGTTGTCCTGGCTGATTCAAGCAACTCATGCCGTGGTGTAATGGCACAAGGGTAATAGGCGAAGTCATATATGTGCATATACATGTAACTAAGTTTGACAAATAATAAAACAGTATGAACAGACAATAATATTGAACTCCATTATACGAGTCTGAAAACCTTCTTGAAGTGATAATATTGTCCAATTTAGGACGTAGCCGTGTCCATTTTTATAGCCAATTTGCACCTTCACCTATCTATATATATTTTTTTTTACATCTAGGGGCAGATATGGTTGTTATAAACTTGTCATGATTGTCGTTCCTAACTCTTCTCATGCTTGAAATTTTGATTTATTCGCTAATGGGGCTTCATCTGAAATTTGACCATCAACATCATGACTTGAGATAATGGCGTAATATTTAATGTAAAAAACACACTTCGGACACTCATTTGGGGCCCCCTCAAGTGGGGGCCTGATGAGGATTTTTTTCTGGTCTCTGTCCTCCTTCCAAACCCTCTGGCCAATAAGTTGCAGTCCTAAAGAATAAAAATCCATTATCGAACGGCCGCTACCAACCCCGCACTACACACTATTTAGTGCAGTGGTTCTCTACCTTTTATGCTCGGCGACGCCTTTCTACAACCACCCCCACTCCCCACTCTGCCGCGACCCCCATCCCAGCTCACATACACATACAGCAATAGAAGAATAGACAAAAACAATCTATTTTTTCGATGGTCTTTGGCGACCCCTGGCAAATCGTCTATCGACCCCCAAGGAGGTCGCGACACACATGTTGAGAACCCCTGATTTAGTGGAACAGCCTTGCATTATAAATGCTCTACCCTGTCTTTGTTCTGTCGTGTATACGATGATTAGTTACTAATTCCTTTTTCTTCCTGGAAGACAAGGTTTAACTCACTGGACCAATGTCATCCTTTCCTGGAATGGACTGATTGTCGCCCTAAAGATCCGAAAGTAAAAATACTAATCTTCACTGGGATTTGAACCGGGACCCCAGTTAGAAAGCCAAGCGCTTTACCACTCAGCCACCGTGCTAACTACTCTCACCAAATTCTATGAGCGTACCTAAATGGGGTTTTGAATTTGTAAAAAAATATAAAAAAATCCACAGATTTTTTAGTTTAAAACACCCCAACAGATGATTTTGACGATAAAACTTCCCTTTTCGATATAAAATCTAAAGCAAACTACAGTCACATAATTCCAAGAGAGGTTACAAATTTCTATATGTGGCTGGGCTCCATTAATAAAGTGCAGTGAATAGTCATCTGCCAAAATTGAAAAAGACTAAATGTGGCTCAACAAAGATGGATTTTAGAAGTCAGTCATAGAGATCGGGTCTCAGTCAAGGAAATCCTATGCCGAACTGGGAGTCGACCTGTAGTAAGGTGGTGACAGAGCGTCGCATGAGGTTTGAGGGACATGTTCTCTGACAAAATGAATTACGCATAATAAGAGTTGTCATTACAAAAAAGCGTAAACAGGGACATCCCAGTACAACTTTGAGCCACACTTTCATGGAGGTCCTCAGAGCAGGTGGGTAGAGGCTTCAGACATTGCCAGTGACAGATTTTTGTGGAAGCAGCTTTCCGCCTAATTCGCCGAATGACGCTTGAGGATCTAAGTCAGTAAAAATAGCACATTAGGTTTCTGAAATAAAACTTTTAAAAGCAGGATAATGCACTCACTCTAAATACCTCAGAATATGCATTTTGTTGGCTTTCAATACCGGAAATTGTGCTTGGCGGCGGGGCTCCGACCCGCACTAGGAGAGCTTACAGCGCTCCCCCAGACCCCCTTACTGGCAATGACTAGGAGTCTGCAATTTTCCCACTAACTCCTGGAAGAACCTATTGTAGAGTGCAAAAAATAAACGTCTTCCGAAAGATTGAAGGGTCAGAATGTAATAAAGATTAATTATGCACACACACAGACACACACACAAGGACATATATATTTGCGGGGGGGGGGGGGGGGAGAGAAAACAATTCCCCCCGCCCTACGAAAAAAAATCCTGGCTACGCCCATGACTCTTGGTATGCGTAATTCATTTAAAGTAATGAAACATTCTGGTTATTTTCTGTATCGATAAGACATACTACAGACTTAGAAACAGATTCGTTTGATAAAAAGAAGGAAACGTCTACATTTTATTTCATTGAATTTAAATTTGAAGTTATTTTAAGTTGTACCAGTTAAAATATAATATGCCTTTAGAGGCTTAGTTGTCTTCCAGCATTTTGGGGCTACTAGTCAACGACAATTAACAACAGGCTTATCAATTTCAATCATATGCTCTCCCGCCTTAACTACCGCCCGCCCACAATTTAAATCCTACATACAATCTCTGATTTTTCATCGGCTTCTCGTGATTGAATATACTATATATTTTTTGTTGACTGTAACTCCCACCCCACAAACACAAATACTTGCATTCACACTTTTCGGTCTTGTTTTTAAATTACAAAGACAAGCCTGAATTGTGTTATCATCCTCTGATCCATCGATTGTTCAAAACAGACTTCATATCTTATCTAATTTTATTTTACAAAATCTTATCTTTTACAGCATCTATATTGTCATAAGAAAATCGATTCTTGCTTGCGTGCGTGGTCGAGAGGTACGCTTAGACTTGGTTTGGTTACCTTTGAAGTTGGGTTTGACACCCAACTCGAGCAGAGTTGTGATTACTGAGCTTACAAAGGCAGTACGGAAAAACCCTCTCCCAGATACCCCCTCCTCCCCAACGGTCCAGAAATGAGATTGAACCATAGCGCTCTAAGCATACTTTAAGTATGAAAGTAGCTTTATGCATAAGCTACAATTTATTTATTTATGCTTATGGTCTAAACAAACTCAATTAATAAGCTCCATTTGTTTGTGTCTAGGCACAAAAATAGATGACGTCATTGCTCAACTAAGCCTAAATAGGTCGCTTATTTATATGTGTTCTTTTTTATATGTTTATCGATTGTTTTGACTGACACAAAAATTTACAGACACTATACAAAGATCCCGATAAATAAAGACGATTTCTACAGAAGCGGATATAGATCTAGATCTAGATTCTAGATTCAAAGAGTGTAGAAACTTTCAAATAGGATAGTCTTTAATCTAGATCACATCTCATGTTTTTACTAGTTACGAAGTAACCATTTTTTTTTTTAGAAATGGAACATTCTGGTTATTTTCTGTATTTATAACACATTCTACAGATTTACAAACAGAGGCAGTAGATCAATACCGGAATGAAACAAATAGACCACCTCCTATGTTTCTCACTTCTTTATATAGTTCTTGTCAAAGTGTCACAAGTCAAAGGTATGTTTAGTAAGCTTTTATTATCCACATTTACATTTTTCT